TATGTAAAAATATATATATATATTTATATACATATAAATATATATAATTTATATATATATATTTAAAGGAAGATTGCTACAATGAGAAGGGAATTTGATTGCCAGTGGAAGTTCGGAAAAATAAGCGAAGTCGTGTTTGGTAGCACCCATCTACTCATTGCCCGGGAAAGAATATTAGTTTGGTGGGGCACCTGGGTGGCTCACTGGGTTGGGCCGCTGCCTTTGGCTCAGGTCGTGATCTCGGAGTCCTGGGATCGAGCCCCGCATCGGGCTCTCTGCTCTCTAGGGGAGCCTGCTTCCTCCTCTCTCTCTGCCTGCTTCCTCCTCTCTCTCTGCCTGCTTGTGATCTCTCTGTCAAATAAATAAATAAATAAAAATCTTTAAAAAAAAAAAAAAAAAAAAAAAAGAATATTAGTTTGGTATAAGGGCTCTACTTGGCCAGGCTATTTTGGAGAATAATAAATAACATACAGTAAATGTAATAAAAATTACATTATAAATTAACTCCCCTTGTTCTAGGTTCATATTTACTAAGCAGCAATTTAGGTATATATAGTGTGTTTTCCACTCAGCTTGTCTTGAGGAAGTGAATGCTCCAGATGGAGGACCCTGTCTATCCAGAGTTATGCTCTCCCTTGAACATTTGTGAATTGTATTTTTCAATTGATCTCACATAAACTTGGCAATTTGAATTTATTTCACTAAACTCATTTAAAAAATTTACCGCTCCCCATTTAACTCTGAAGCTGAGTTGATTCTCAATATTACAAACCCTAAGCCCTCAAAATATCTGGGTCAGTGATATAATTTAGTTTAGCCCCAAAGACCCATACGTTTCTTTTCATTTGTATGATTTGTCAAATAAGTGTTTTCGTCTCATAAAAAAATGAGACAGGGTGAAAGTAACTGAAATCCTTCCTTGATTAAGTAAGGTAACAAAAGCCATAATTAAGCAAAACTTTTATACTGTTTCCTTAAGTTGATTAAGTACTTTGGATTCCAGAAGACAAGGAAGATTGCTATAGCTGTAGCCTGAAAAAGAAAATAAAGGTGTTTTAAACAATCATATTAAATGATAATTGTACTTTATTGAGGTATTGTTATGTTCTAGGTACTATTCGTAGTACCCAATTCGGTAGGACTGCAATTATTAAAGAACGGGAGCCCCATGCTCATGGACTCTCTCAGAGGGTCCATGAGGTCAAAACTAGTAATACTCATATGATTACTTACTTTTAAAATTCTGATTCTGTCATGGGTTTATTATGGAGTTTTCCAAAGCTATGTAATATATGATTCCAGTAGTTTGGAGAAGTAGATAGGAGACTAGATTTGTCTTATATTAAACCAACATTAAAGAGATTTGCAAAAATGCAGGAGTGCTATACTTTTTGCTATTTTTTTCTATTTTTTTTTTTTTTACGATTTTATTTATTTATTTGACAGAGATCACAAGTTGGCAGAGAGGCAGGCAGAGAGAGAGAGGGGGAAGCAGGTTCCCTGCCGAGCAGAGAGCCCAATGCAGGGCTCAATCCCAGAACCCTGAGACCATGACCTGAGCTGAAGGCAGAGGCTTAACCCACTGAGCCACCCAGGCGCCCCCTTTTTTCTGTTTTGAAGACTATATTTCTCTTAAAATAAAATCTACTTTTGATTTTAAGTTGTAATGTTTTCCCCCAACATTTTATTATGAAAAACGTTTTTTAAAAGATTTTATTTATTTATTTGACAGAGAGGTAGAGAGAACACAAGCAGGCAGAGAGGCAGGCAGAGAGAGAGAGGGAGAAGCAGGCTCTCTGCTGAGCAGGGAGTCCAACATGGGGCTCGATCCTCATGACCTGAGCTGAAGGCAGACTCTTAACTGACGGTGCCACCCAGGCACCCTATCTTGAAAATTTTTACACGTACAGAAAACTGGAAAGAGTGATAGAGAGGGCACCCAGCCAGTACCCTCACCCAGATTCTACAATGAACATTTTGCTCTGCTTTATCCTTGATCTGTCTATCCGACCCTCTATTCGTTCATTGTTCTTTCTTAATTTTTTGATGCCCGTGGCTTGATTTGAATTGTCAGTTTCTCTTTCTCAGGGAGAGAATTTGATGACACATCTCCTTTGGCCTGTATAAAGGGGCAAGACACCCCAAAAAGCTGGACGAGTGTGTCTGTAATTAATTTTTAAATTACAATTTTAAGTGAACAAATAAATATATTTTTAAATGGTCATTTTAAATTTTTAATGTGGTCAAAACCAATAGATTAAAAAAATACATAAAGATCTGTGAAGTCTTCAATAATATTTAAGAAATAAAGGGGTCTTGAGACCAAAATGTTTGAGAATTGCAGCTTTAGAACAATTCCAGAAAATATGCACTACTGCATCTAAAGCCGAAAGGTCAAAGGGCACTGAAGCATTTAATGTGGTATGGAAACGAAAATATAGTCAAACTTTATAGAACAGTGTATTAATGAAGCACTCTATTATTAGCTAGTACACACTGGAGCATAACTTTATAATGTACTTATAAATATGTGTTTTAGAAAATAGCACTGTTTTAAGATCAGCTTGTATCCTAAGGATAAACCACTGTTATTGTACAGTATGTGTAAATGTTAAACCTGAATATCTGTGTGAAAATAAACATTAGAAAGCAAAGATTATAGCTTCTTTATTAAACATTAAGAAATAAGACCTATCTCCCTACTGTTATAATTAAAGAATCAAAGAACCCAGCTTATATCAAAATAGTGCACCAGGGCTATGGAAATTAGATATGGAATGGAGGAATAACTTTGAAATTGCTTTTGTTATGTGGTGTTTATTTTTCTTTAAAGTGATCTTGTATTATATAAATTGGACCTGAAGATGTAAATGTAGTAGCGATTTTATTAACTGAGATACCATATGCCAATACAGTAAGAAAGCTAGCAGGCAATCAACACATTTTAACAGATTTTATAGCCATAGCTTATATTATGCTTAAGAATTAAAGAAAAAAATTAAGATCTTCTGTTTTTATTCTTCACCAAACTATTAGATAAATTTTGTTTAGTAAATCATATTGACATCCTTAGAATTTTTATCATTGAAAGTTATTTAAACAAATAAAGAAGTTGTATTTAGAATTCTAAAATAACTGAAGAATATACATGCCTTTTGGTAATCTAAAAATAAGAGAGAATTTTTTTTTTTTTTTTTTTTTTTTTTTTTTTTACTAGCTCATCTTTGTGGAGAAGGATGGAATCATATTGGTGATGCTTGTCTTAGAATCAATTCCAGTAGAGAAAGCTATGACAATGCAAAACTTTATTGTTACAATCTCAGCGGAAATCTTGCTTCATTAACAACATCAAAAGAAGTAGAATTTGTTCTGGATGAAATACAAAAGTATACGCAACAGGTAACAGCTCTACTTGTTTATATTGTGGAAATACACTGGAAGTCCTAAAATCACTAGCAATGGTTCATTCTTTTTGTTTTTAAATAAATTATTTTTACTAAATCTTGAAAGTAAAGTGGACATGACTTCAAAAGTCAATTGGCACTGGACTTCATCTGTATATGTATTTGGGAATAAGATTTTCTAAATTACTCATCTTATGTTTTGCGTAGTAAACCATTACATTTCTTACCAAGAAATCATTTCATATGAATAAATACACCTAAAAACACATGTGTATAAAATTAAGTTTTTTAAAAAAAAGATTTTATTTATTTATTTGTCAGAGAGAGAGCATAAGTAGGGGGAGTAGCAGAGGGAGAAGCAGGCTTCCTGCTGAGCAAGGAGCCGGATGGGAACTCTTTCCCAGGAGCCTGGAATCATCACTTGAGCCAAAGGCAGCTGCTTAATTGCCTTGGCCATTCAGGTGTCCCAAGAATTTGTTTTGAAGTGTAATGTCTTCATAACTTGAGATGTCCCTTATAATTAAAACACTAGAGGGACAGATGGTTGGCTCAGTCAGTTGGGTGTCTGACTCTTGGTTTTGGCTCAGGTCATGATCTGATAAGTCCTGGGATTGAGCCTCTCTGCTGAAGGCAGAGTTGGCTTGGGATTCTCTCCCTTTCCCTCTGTTTCTCCTCCGACTCAGGCTTTCTCTTTCTCAAATAAAGAAATAATAAAAATAATTAAAACACTAGACCAACACATTGGTTACGTTTGCATATATGTATTTTTTGTGAGTGTGTGTGTTTTTGAATTATGCTATTTTTTTTAGGTGTAGATTTGCTTAAAATAATATATTAAGGGTTAGCTGAAATAAAACCAATTTTTAAAGTATGTAGAAGCTGTTGGAACATACAGCACTTAGAAACTGTTTCAATATTTCAGGGGGTTTTATGGAAAATATTTCCATAAAAAATGGAATATTTCTTTGAAAACCAGGTGATGGGTATTAAGGAGGGCATGTGTGGTGATGAGCCCTGAGTGTTATATGCAACTAATGAATCATTGAACACTACATCAAAAACTAATGATGTACTATATGTTGGTTAATTGAACATAATAAAAAAATTAAATCATGAAAACTGTATTAAAATATTAGGTTATAAGCTATTTCTAAGAGGAATTTACAGTATTTTTTACTCTTGGATCTTTAAAATATAGTCAACTCTTAAGAGTAGATTATATAAGGAAATTTAGAAATAATTTACTAAACCTAGTTTTGAAATACTTAGCCCATGTAATTACTTGAAGTATACTAATACAAACCATCATAGCATCATAGCAGATTTTTGTATTTTGTTTCAAAAATAAAGTTAGAACTCAAAACAGATCAGGTAAGTGGTAAGACTAAACAATAATAAAATAAATTTTATTTATGTATGAATAAAATATGTTATTTTATTTATAAATATAATAAATAATAAATAAATAATAAATGCCTTAAATTTGTAGTTTGTACTAGATTTGGCCTCACATTTAAGATAAAAACACAAGACACACAGAGATATCCTATGGTCAATAATGTACAAAGTAGAATAATTTCTATGCAAATAATGTAGGTGTGTCTATAATTCACCTGTTACTTTGAAAACTCTATTAGGCCTGATCTCAACGACTTTATTTTGACTTTGAGTAATGATTTTTATTTGGACAAATAGTCTGTTGGTACTTCAAAGCTCCACTCTGTATAGGACAGAAGAGACAATTTTGGCTTGAAAATATTTTAGAGCAAATATTACCAATTACTTGCTATAGAAATACTTAAGTAATGTTTTCTAGGTATAGCTGATTTTAAAGGAGCATTGAGGACCATCATCAAAATGATGGAGAGCATATAATTGGACATACCGCTTATCTTTAAAACTTACTAGCAAGTTAATCTCTCCAGCTCTATATTCTTCATCTGCAATAGGGATAGTAATCATAGCTACTTTGTAGGTTTATTGTCAGAAAAAATAAGATAATGCATATGAAGAATATATATTTTATTTTTGAGGGTGTATAGTAATTATTATTGTTTGCATTTTAAGTGTTGTTATTTTTTTTAAAGATTTTATTTCTTTATCTGATAGAGACACAGCGAGAAAGGGAATACAAGCAGAGGGAGTGGGAGAGGGAGAAGCAGGCTCCCCACTGAGCAGGGAGCCCATGCGGGGCTTGATTCCAGGACCCTGGGATCATGACCCGAGCCAAAGGCAGATGCCCAAGGACTGAAACACCCAGGTGCCCCGAGGGTTGTTACTTTTTGTATCACTTTCTCACTGCTGCTATTACTACTATGTCCAGGAGTCATTATTTAGAATTCTTAGGTAACTAGATGAATTTATTTAATGAATAATTAATACTGATATTAATTGTGGAAAAATATTTGCCCCATATTTACTATTGTAATTTTTCCATAGTGAATGAGAAATCCGCCCTGCTGCTCCCCCACCCCCACTGACTGCCCTGGGTACTTATACAGGACCTTTTATCTCTTAGATAATTCCTGATTTTTGATGAAGAATAGGTTGTTGATTTCACCTTTACTAGTAACAGAGGAATATGCATCTTGTGTTTAAAAAGTGACATAAGAACAGTTTTTATAAATGTTAAAAAAAATATTAGGGGACTTGTGCTCACTCCCTTTTGAAATTTTTGTATGGACATTCACTTCACAGTTACTGCTTACCCTCACATTTTTGGTGATATTAGCAATTATATTTCTGTTTTTTTTTTTAAGATTTTATTTATTTATTAGAGAGAGAGAGAGAGCACAAGCAGGCAGAGCAGAAGGCAGGGAGAGGGAGAAGCAGGCTCTCCACTGAGCACAAGTCTGATGCAGGGCTCAATCCCAGGACCCTGGGATCATGACCTGAGCCAAAGGCAGCCACTTAACCAATTGAGCCACCTGGGCCCCAGCATGTGTATTTCTTATAAGTATCAATATGAGATGATTTAACTTATAATTACAGTTTCTAATTGTAGAGCCCTACCCCACACATTAATAAAATGTTTAAATTAATTATGTCCTAGGCTTTTATAAATATTCAAAATTTTGGGGTGCCTGGGTGGCTTAGTGGGTTAAAGCCTCTGCCTTCAGCTGAGGTCATGATCCCAGGGTCCTGGGATCGAGCCCCGCGTTGGGCTTTCTGCTCAGCAGGGAACCTGCCTCCTTTCCTCTCTCTCTGCCTACTTATGATCTCTGTCTGTCAAATAAATAAATAAAATCTTAAAAAAAAATTCAAAAGTTTGAAGTGGTTATCACAATATACTTGTTGACTGTCAGATATTTATTATATGCCGGATATTAATAGAATAAAGAAAAACTATATAATTAAATTCATGTGAAAAACTAATCTGTGAAATCATTTTTGTGTGAACTGTAACTATTTTTCTGTGAAGAATGAGCCAGTATTCATTCAGTTAGTAAACATTTTTTTGGGCACCCTTCAGTGTATTTGGGAATATACTTCTTGCTGAGAATAGGGATCAAAAGACAGTCACTCATGGGGAGATGGAGAGGAGAAGGGAGTTGAGGGAAATTGGAGGGGGAGATGAACCATGAGAGACTATGCACTCTGAAAAACAATCTGAGGGTGAGGGTTTTGAAGGGGCGGGGGGGTGGGAGGGTGGGGGAGCCTGTTGGTGGGTATTATGGAGGGCACGTATTGCATGGAGCACTGGGCGTGGTGCATAAACAATGAATTCTGTTACACTGAAAAGAAATTAAATAAAAAAAAAAAAGACAATCACTATTGTCAAAGAGATTAATGGTGAGGAAGACAAACACAATTTTACTGTAGTGTGATAATTGCAGTAATAAGTGGACATGGAATATATGAGGAAAGAAGATGGAAATCTTAATAATGTGGACTTAAGGAGTTTCCTAGAGTATGCCCTAGCTAACTTTTGTAGGACATTGAGTTGGCCAGCAGATGAAGATATTTGCAGGGAGGCAATAGAATCTGTTTGTTTTGTTTGTTTTGTTTTTTTATTAACATATAATGTATTATTAGCCCCAGGGGTACAGGTCTGTGAATCGCCAGGTTTACACACTTCACAGCACTCACCATAGCACATACTCTCCCCAATTTCCATAACCTCCCCCCCCCCCCCCCCCCCCCCCCCCCCAGCAACCCTCAGTTTGTTTTGTGAGATTAAGAGTCTCTTATGGTGTGTCTCCCTCCTGATCCCATCTACTTTCATTTATTCTTTTCCTACCCCCCAAACCCCTAATGTTGCAGCTCCACTTCCTCATATCAGGGAGATCATATGATAGTTGTCTTTCTCCGATTGATTTATTTCGCTAAGCATAATATCCTGTAGTTCCATCCACGTTGTTGCAAATGGCAAGATTTCATTTCTTTTGATGGCTGCATAGTATTCCATTGTATATGTGTACCACATCTTCTTTATCCATTCATCTGTTGATGGACATCTAGGTTCTTTCCATAGTTTGGCTATTGTGGACATTGCCGCTATAAACATTTGGGTGCACGTGCCCCTTCAGATCACTACGTTTGTATCTTTAGGGTAAATACCCAGTAGTGCAATTGCTGGGTCATAGGATAGCTCTATTTTCAACTTTTTGAGGAACCTCCATGCTGTTTTCCACAGTGGTTGCACCCGCTTGCATTCCTACCAACAGTGTAGGAGGGTTCCCCTTTCTCCACTTCCTCACCAGATCTGTCATTTCCTGACTTGTTAATTTTAGCCATTCTGACTGGTGTGAGGTGCTATCTCATTGTGGTTTTGATTTGTGTTTCCCTGATGCCGAGTGATGTGGAGCATTTTTTCATGAGTCTGTTGGTCATCTGGATGTCTTCTTTGCAGAAATGTCTGTTCATGTCCTCTGCCCATTTCTTGATTGGATTATTTGTTCTTTGGGTGTTGAGTTTGATAAGCTCTTTTTAGATTTTGGATACTAGCCCTTTATCTTATATGTTGTTTGCAAATACCTTCTCCCATTTTTTTCA